TGTGCTGATGTTGTTCAAGACCCTGAAAGAGGTCTCTAGAGAGAGATCTCATAGAGATAATCCCATAGAGATTTTGCTGTGAATCATAGCATCAACTAGGTTGGAAAAGACCTTGAAGATCACCAAGTCCATCTTGGGTGGGAATATATTATTTCCATTAGATGTTTTTTTCTGATCTTGCATCTCACTTGCTTTTGCATGTTTGGAGCTAGCCTGTATTTGGGAAAACAGGGTGTACTTCCACTGCTCCCCACTACAACGGTCTTCTGATAATGGAGAGCAGGGGGTCGACTACTGAGTCACCAGCACTTGGTCTTCTCTGTCATAGGTTCTCATCAAGCACTGGGTTAGCTCAATTGTGCTTGGCTCTTTGTATTTTATTCTTTTCCTCCCAGTGAAGTTAACCCATGTACACTACCTCAGCTGACTTAGGCACATAACATAGATTTGGCAGAGAAGTGCATATATATTTTAGGATGTGACCAATTTAACTTGCTTTCACTGTTTCACAATAGTGAAAGAGCTCTTGAATTGCTATTAAAAGCTTTACTATAAAGGCACAAACTTCAGACTTACCTTTCTTTGCAAAGTTCTGATGATTACTGGGGTCAAAGGAGTCAGTAATTTAGCACTTTTCAGGATACACGGTTCAAGATCCTTTTTATTGAAGAAATCCATAAAATTAAATGGCAAATCGTAAAGCATATGTGCTGCAAACTTATAGTAAGAAGCCAGGCATCATCATGCATGCAGTGAAATACAGTTATGCAGAAAGATGGTCACTCCCACGCTCAAAAAAGCCTTCCCTCCCCTTCACTTTGACCATGGAAAACATCATGATTCCTTCCATGTGAAAATGCTTTACTTTTCCTTAATATTCAGAAACTTAATTTTGCTTATCTCTGCTTATTCATTTTGTTTGATATTGCTGTTGGCATAAAAAGGATGTGATGTTTAAGGGAAAAAGGCATTGCCTAGGATGTCCTGAGTAATTGTGCTTCTAATTAGAGACAATGGGGATGCAGTGGACTAGGATCAGGTCGTATCATAAGACACAGGGTAGACTGTAATTATGATTTGTAAAGCACCCCCAGTTGTGGTCCCTGGGGCAGAGAATGATGATTTTATAAATAATAAAACCACAATGAGAACCATATGACTGTCCTTGCAAGACCTGCTGGCAGAATGCAAGAACATGGAAAGAAGCTTCTAAAACAAAGGGGGGAATGGCCTAAATTTGGAAATATTGCAGATCTTTTTAGATTTGTTCTCTTCTGGATACACGTGGGGAAAGAGAGGTTGCATACTGAAGGTTGTCTGAGCATGTTAGAGTTTCCAGAGAAGTGGTACTCAAATGAAAACCTGCCAATTCAAGTCCTGAAGAACTTAGTGGAACAGCCAGAGCCTTCACTGTATAGAGTTTTAATGACCATTTAGAGCAATATGGTATCAGTTAGAAACTGTATAAATAGCTGGTGAAAATCAAGAATAATCTTTCTGGAGGAGCTCATGATCCTGCTTTGGAAGCACCCTGGTTGATTTTAAGTTATAACCAGTAGTTATTCCCGACTGGGGGAAAAGGAAAATGGTAATATCTTCTATCTGCTGCTGTGGCCCAGTTACCTACTGCTGTTATAGACATGTAATGGAGTCATTAATGGGGCAGCCTGTGGATCAATTACAATAATTTATATACCAAATGCAGCACAGGTTTTTCCTGTACAGGATGTCATAAAACTAGCATTTAAGAGATGTAATCAGATATGCTAATGTCTTCAGAGCATCTTCCTGAAATTATCCTTCGCTTTTTTATCATTTTGGGGCCTTCCTTCTGCAGTCAATGTCTTCATTATTGGCACTGCTTTCTGTAGTCTAACAAATAAGTCCATGTGTGAGAGAAAGGACATGTATAATTTTTAACATTAGATAGTCTTCAAGAAATGAACTTAGATAAGTGTGACATAGCTGATCAGCTTCTACAGTCCAGGTGTTGTAATGAGGGAGATTAGTAGTATAGTACAAACTACTACTTAGTAGTAATAGAGTTCAAGCTTTAGCTGCTTGTAGCTGAACTTCTTACGTACAGGACCAGTACTGGTGATGTGCCAACAAAGCAGCTTGGGAACATACACTTACTTTATTTTGGGCCAAATCAACCAAATGAGCTTACTCCACTAATTGAATTATTTATGCCAAGTCGCCTCAATTTGCATGGCACTAAAGAGAGACTTTTACAAAGAACATGTGAAGTCTCACTACCTCCCAGACTTATAGGAGGCAGCAAAAAGCGACAGTTTGGGTGGTGGAATGAAGCCTGTTCTGCAGAGAATCAGTGCTGGGAAGGAAGTACTCTCTCTCCTCTCTGGCCTCCCTATTCCTCACATTTGCAGCAATTAATGCCTCAATTCTCTTGCAGGTCAGCTGGCCTCATTTGACTTTGTTCTGGTTCATAGGTTTCTGATGTGGCCTGTTGCTACATGCAGTAATTTTTATTGTTTCAGATCTGTTATTACAGGGATACCTGACTTCTGCCCAGTTTGTACTGAATGAAAGGTAGCTGATGCTGCCACTAATTTCAGACAGGTCTGCAGATCAAAGATGTACCAGCACCTTTTCCATTAGTAGCATCCAGTGATAGATGAACTTCATGTGTCATTGACTGGCTTCCAAATCACTCATTTGTAGTATCTTATAAGTGAAGTAATGATGCTCATAACTCTTCTCGTATTATCCCTAATGGCCAATCAGAGTACAGTGTGGCAGGCAGTGGGCACTGCCCTACCCTCTGCTCACACCGTGACTGTCACTCAGAGCTGGGTAAGTAGCACCGAGTGCTGCTGCTGCCACTCGATGCTCCTGCCTGGCTGCTGAGTGAGCATCATACAAATCGTACAGCATCATACAAATGACTATGTCAGAAAACACGAGACATTTAGCAAAAAGGTAAGTAGCAGTGCACAGCATTTTCCATTTGGCTTAGAGGCAGTTCTGATCTTGCTGTTGAAAGCAGGAGAGAATCTGCAGCCCTCTGAAGCATGACTAATCAGTTTGCTGAAATGGTTAGCACTCTTTAGCTTAAAGTATTTCTTCCCTGTTGTTAACAGCAACAAATGATGATTTGTAGCATTTATGTAAGTAAGGTGTGTGTTCTGGTCTTAAACTCTTTGCTTGGGAGCTACATCAAATGTCAGGATTCCATGGAGCAGGATGGAAGGGTGCTGCTGGGGGTGGCACTGTGTTAACTTTTATTCCAGAAAAGATGCCAAGTAATTAATACATCTTATTTGTGCTTTGAGAATCATAACAAAGATGTTTTTCTTTGTCATCTTTCTATTTCAAAGGGATATTTTGGAAAGGTTTATTTGTCTTAAATGGGGTAATTCTCCTGCGTTGACAAGAAACAAACAGAAAAAATAGGTAAAATGTTACTAGTCTAAATATATTAAACCAGACAAGACTATATTTTATATAGTCTTAAATATGCTGATTGCTTCAGGGGCACAGGTTTTAAAAAGGGCAGATCAGAATCGTAATTCATATTGGCAGAGTTTTAGTTATTATAGTAAGTAAGGCTCAGAATAGTTACGGGGACACTATATTGCATGTTGTATGAGATGAATGCCAAGACTTGGTTAATCAATGTTTGCAAAACACTTGGTGGAAGTATTGGGCACAGAAGGATTCACAGTGTATGTGAAGCGTGATGACAACAGCCACTGTGAACAATGTCATATAATGTTTCCCTTGAATTTGTAATCCTGTTTTTCATATCTATAATTATGCTCTCTTTTTCTTTGCAGTCATTATTAAAAACAAACCCAAGCTGCTGCTGCAGTCAGTGGTTATTGCTGATGCTATCTGTCTGTTCTGTGCACCTCTGTCTTTTCCGTAAGATGATACCAGGACTTTGCTTTCTGTTTTTCCTTTCAGCAGGCAGTGTGCTGTGCCATTTTTAAAGGAACTAGCACAGTTTCTAAGTCACAAGACAGGTCACATTAGTTATTGCTGTTTGGAGTCAGGAACATGGTGAGGATTTGTTTTATGTTGGGGGAGTTTTCTTTGTACAGACTTGTATACAGCATGTTAGTGGAGTATAGTTCTTTGATCATTAGATGCAGATGCAGTGTCCTAACATTGGCCAGGTGACCTTAACTTTTTTAGTGCAAGGCCTTATTGTTTCATCTGTGAATTTTTTTGTCCAGCAGTTCTGACGGTGATGAACTTGGGCCAAAATTATTCAGCTGGTCTGTATTATCTTGCTGCCAGTAACCCAAAGACCAGCTGAGAACCCTTGTGATGGGTCAGGCTGACATCTGAATGTTGTAAGGGAGAAAAGTACAGCCAGAGTAAGCTGCTGAGAATCTTCTGACTTTGAGATGCAGCAGCAGCGGGGGGGGTTGTGAGTGCAGTAGCATTTCATACAGATGATGTTCCCAGGAGCAGGCACAATGTGGATTTCAACCCACCTGCATGTGTTCAGTTGTCTACTGGTCAGGAACCACGCTGAACATGAGCTGAACTAAAGCAGGTGTTCCAGCAGCAGTCAATAGAATAATTTGGTGCAGTTTGGCAATGTCTCATCCTTAAAGTGACAGCATGATCATAATGTCACTAAGCCTGTAGTCTCTTGTCAGCTCTACATACGCTCAGATGTGCGTTGTCACGCGGTGCTTCTGTGTTCCTGATACCTGAGCTCATCAGATTGCCATGATCCCACATAGTAACTTCTGCATGTCCAGGTTGTTATTTACCTTACATGCAGTTTATTTTGTTTTCAGGAAACACAGAACTTGAAGAGCCTTCCACATGTCACAGGGTAAGAGCATAGTTAAAGAAAATCACCTACCAACATAATGGAAGTCACTTTCATCTTTTGCAATTATTGGAAATGGAATAGCAGGTTATACATGACAATAAGGCTAGAACTGCAGAAAGGGGGTTCAAATGTAGCAGCAATGCACCAGTAGATGTGCTGAGTTTATTCTGTTTTCTTCTGGCAGGTCATCCACATCAGACCTCAATGTGGCATTGCGTGAGTGTATGGCAGCTCTGGATTTGTTTCTTAACAACAAGTTCTCGGATGCTTTGGCTTCTTTACAAGCAAAGTAAGTTGATTACTTTTATTAGTTTTCCTCCATTCAGTTTTATTTGCTTCACCGTCTCTGAGGAGAACTGCCTAGACAGCTAGTTCTGTGTTAATAGTTGATAAGACTGCATGGTTTTGTTCTAGAAGCAAGTTAATATGTTAAGTTTTGGGGAAGACGGAAGTGCTTTACACTTGGGTAAGTAAAGAGATTGATCAAAGGTAACTACAGAAAGCACAGAATTGATGTCCAGAGAAGTAGCTCCTCAGCTGTAGCACAGTATGTGGGGTTCTTGCTCCTGGAAGAATAAAAACCATGGTTTAACACTTTATTTTTGTTTCCCTCCTCTTTTACCCATATTTTTCTGCATGCTGTGAAAAATTTGAGAACCTACAGTCTAAATGAGCAATTGTCCAGGAATTGCCAGGTTTCAGACACATTACTTTAGGTATGAATTCTTGGTTTATTGTCTTTTTAATAACCACTTGCAGAAACTTTCTCACAGCTTATTTGCAATTCAGTATTGTGGCCATGCACTGTCTCCTAATTACATTGCAGCCCAACATGTAATGAGTGGCCCAGCTGCAAGCAGTGAGCGAGGTAATAAAATAGCTTCTAAAAAGTTGTTGCATCTTTACAATGTCTGTGAATTTTCCTACCCTGTCCTGAAGTTACCTGTGCTCTTGGCTTGGTGAAGTCTGTGGTTAAATCACATTCTTTCCCCTCAATTTGCTCCATTTAGTTTTGAGCCATCAGCAGATTTACATCAGGCCTTTTTTCAGGCCACTGGAATGTGAAATAAGTAAAATTCGTAGGTAACGCAGTAGTGTGTGTTTGATATGCATCTGCAGTAACGATAGTAAATACTACATACCTGCTTTGTTGCGGTATCAGCCTCAGTCTTTGATGCCAGAATCTGTAGCTTAACCATGAAAGTACACTCTGTGAAAGACATTCATGACAAATTGTAGGCTCAGATGTATGGTTTTATTCACAGCAGTGTTGTTTTGTGTTTATATATCATCAGAAGTTATAATAAAAATGGTAAGAAGAATAACTGTGTGTTCATTAAATTCTGACAGTAAGGCCCCTGTGCCCATCTGGAAATGCTTACTCAGTGCTTAGCATAAAATAGGGAGATATTTTATTGAAGGGGGTTTTCAAAACACTGCAAAAGCTAGCAAGGCTGTAGGGTTCTTTTTCTGTAAATCCATTTCTCTTCTGTTGCATATGGGTTTTATTCAGCTTTTGTTGGGCTCTGCGGAACATATTTCATGAGCTGATCCTCTGGTTTTGTACCTGATCGTATTCCACAGTGCAAAACCATTTTGAAACTGATTTTTCATGTTATTCCTGTTGCCTTTGGCAGTGAAGAAAATAGACTTGCAATCTTTGCAAGTGTAATGCAGGAACAGGATGCTAAATTTCCCCACAGATGATATCCATTATGGTCATACTCCATCTCATTAGGGAATGACAAGAGCTGTAGAGTGGGCACATGTGGTAATACTGAGGATTTTCTTTAGGAGTCATCAGTTCCTCACTGTTGCCTTTTAGCATGCTGAGATTTGAAATTGGTTTTCACAGTCCATAAACATACTATCTTTGTTTAAAGAAATACTTTTCAGTTTTTACATGCTTGTAAAGGATCTCGTATCACAGCTTTTGCAGCTTTGCCACTTACGTTGTAGGACATACTCTGCTCTGTATTACATTATTGCAGATTCGCTAAATTACTCACATTTGGCTTCCACAATAAGTGTATTTGCAACTGATTTGTACCATGTGTAACTGAGAGCAGATTTGGCAATGTTTGAGAATTAAAATTGGAAGATCTTTCCTAGCAGCTTAGAAATAAATATCTGAGGATGATGTCTAGACTAGTGTTGAGGTAAAGCTCTTTTTTTCCTGTTAGAAAAGCAAATCCGTCATAAAGAAGAGATCTAATTTCATAAAGAATTCATGTGGTCTTTTTGCTTCATGTTGCATAACTTTTCTTGTTTCCTCTTCTACCTTTCAGCTTTCAGAGTCAGGTTTCTTTGTAATCATTAACAATCATTGTAAAATATGATTAAATTATCTTGTGGTTTCTGCAGCAAGTTTAATTAAATTCACCTTTCATATAGAGTAGTCATACTAAGTTGAAGAACTGTTAAGAGTTAAATTCAGTCACCAAACGCAGCGGTGATTTTCAATATGTAACCTGTTAACTGTGACAATGAGTAGCACTGAAACTGTCTAGTCACTGGAGTGGGGAAAAAATATCATCTTCCTTCTCAACGCTGAGATACAGTAAATCAATTAAAAGCTGACTAGGTTTTAGCCCTCATGTAATTGCAAACAGATAATCATAAATCAAAGAGTTGGTCCTGGTGAGATGTCCCTTTCACTTCCCCAAAATAAATGTTTAATATTTTAATATTTATCCTGAAGGCAAGCATGACATAATCACCTGATTTTGTCATGCTTTGACATGCCAAGTGGTTTGACATCAGCATCATAGTTCGCTGATGTCAGTTCACTTGGGAGAATGGTATATAGTAAAGATAAATTCATTACACAGAGTGATCATTGAGGGAGCTGTGACACATCTGTATTGCTGCTTGCAATACTGTAAGAACAGTTTGAGAACAATTCATTCCAGGCAGTTGACTTTATTCTGAAAATAGTCTTCAAAAAGCTTTTAGTGTTGTCTGGTGGTATGTTAGTTCTAAAATGACTGTGTTTGAAAGGTAAATTCAGTGCTTTGATGTGGGAGTATCTTGGGTGGATCTGCTAGTTACTTGTGAAACCCTTACTGGAGTAGTGTAGTTCTGTGGTACCTATTTACTATCACTGGAATTTTTAATATAAGCCAGATTTACAATATTAAATGTTATCTTGTATATTCTGATCTGTAAAAAGTTTAAAGAGGTTACTAAGGAATGGGAGCCTTTTGTAATGACTGTTTCCATGGTGTGGTGAAATGTTTTTGCCCTTGTAGAACAAAAGCAAGCATGAGGGTGGAGGAGCTTTCTCTGAGAACTGATCTGGCAAAGATATTGTGTGACTGTCAAACTAAGAGTAGTGAAAGAGCAAGAGGAATTACACGGAGGCAGAGTGAGGCTCTAGACAGTGTTTGGATAAAGGTGGTGCACAGCTCTGCAGAAAGGTTGAGTTAGCTATTGTAAAGAATGTCAAGAACATGAAGAAGGACATTATTTCTAGGGCTTTTTTTCCTCTTTTTATGCCTGGAGTCTACAAGAAGACAACTTTTATAGCCACTGTAAAGAAATACATTACTGCCAATACCTGACCTTGTTGGTTTCACCTCCTAGATCATAGAATCATAGAATAGTTTTAGTTGGAAAGCACCTTAAGACCATCCAGTTCCAACCCCCCTGCCATGTGAGGGACACCTCACACTAAACCATCTCACCCAAGGCTTCGTCCAACCTGGCTTTGAGCACCGCCAAGGATGGACCATTCACAACCTCCCTGGGCAACCCATTCCAGTGCCTCACCACCCTCACAGTAAAGAATTTCTTCCTTATATGCAATCTAAACTTCCCCTGTTTAAGTTTTAACCCATTACCCCATGTCCTATCACTACAGTCCCTAATGAAGAGTCCCTCCCCAGCATCCCTATAGGCCGCCTTCAGATACTGGAAGGCTGCTATGAGGTCTCCATGCAGCCTTCTCTTCTCCAGGCTGAACAGCCCCAACTTTCTCAGCCTAATGGAAGAACTTAGATTCCAAATCTTGGAGAATGGCTTAGATCACAAAGGCTCAGGGGTTCTCTTGTTTTTCTTTCTGTGGAAGCCCATGCGGTCGGTCTAGCATGTTGTTTGGGCGTTGGGTGGACCTTCTGATCAAAGATGAGGAAAGCCTTCAGGCCTTCTGTGATCACATTCTCTTGGTGCAGTTTCAGTTTAGGTCTCGGTTTCTTACTCATGGATACACTGAACAGACTTGGCTGATCTGTAGAGGGCCTTTCTCACACTGTGCTGTTGGATTTGTTTTACTTGTTTGAGGCATCTTGATGCTAAATCAGGGCATGGATTTGAACGTGGGGTTTCCATAACCTTTCCTGCCTGCTGGATTCCTGTGAAAGCATCCACAAAAAGGTTTTGGGCACCGTGTTTTCACAAAAAATACCAGCCCCTGAGTTAATGACCAGAGGTCAACCCAACCCAAGCCAAGCTTTTTGGTTTCCGTACTTCAGCCGGAGGGGACTGCTGTCACTGTCCTCACTTAGGTCCTTGTTTTCAAGCAGGAATAGAAGTGTTATCCAGCAGCTCTCAAGAAGGGATAGTACTACAAGATCATGATTGCACATAGTTGGAGAACAGGCATGTGGCATAACTCCCTAAGTGCCTAAAGATATTAGTTATAATCCTCTTACTCAGCCATGTGATACCAACTACTGGGGTAAGTCATTAATCACAATATTAGTTTTATTTATGTCATAAAGACTTGTTAACTCCAGTAATGTCCTGGGAAAAGGGCTGCTGAGGAATCAAAGAAGAAATAAAAATGCTATCAAGTTTCATTCTGTATCCATCTGTATAAAATGCAGGCCTTAAAACTCAGGGCAGTATGCCAGGATGGAATTGGCAATTTTAATTGTATAGTTAGTATAAATAGCATAGATAACTCTTTTATATTTGGTTGTATTACTACTTGCATCCCAGCCCCTGAAAAAAATAAATAGTACATTTGAGTGTTTATAAATACCAGTTGACTAATGATAAACATTATTATTATATCCTGTAAATACTAGAGGCAAAATAGATGAAACCATCGATTAGAGCAGGGGTGATTTGGTATCAAAAGCAAAGTACTGGGGAGGGAAATCCTTCCTCTCCCTGTGTATGTGAAAAGCACCAATTTTCCTTTTAGTGCAGTGAATTTAATATTTATCTGCTTTGATTTTGAAAGCAAATTTCTACCATTTTGAAAGAGAACTATTTTAGTGCCTTCCCTGTGCTTTGAATTTGAACCTTGGGAAGGGTTTTATTTTAATAAGTATGAGATGAAGTGTGTTTCTCTGCACCTTCTGAGGGTGATGAGTAATCAAATGAATAGGAGCACTTCATCAGGCTGGCATTTTATAGTATGTTCGTTTTTTTTTGTCTGCTTTACATTATCATTCTGCTGAAAGAATCATGGTCTAGAAGGCCAGGACAGAGCTGTTCTGACTCCACTGGATTTTTCTTCTTGAAAGAAAAAGGTAATGAAGTGTCTCGGTACTAGAAACAAACACCAGAAGTATACCTATTGAGAATAGGTGTGCTGAGGGGCGAGATGCTGTTGAAAGGATATCCTTGTGTGACTGCAAGTATTTTTGAATGTTTCCTGCTATATAAATGGGGATCTAGCTGGTCCATTCTAAAATGATTGAAATGGCAATTGTTGCTCTTCAGCAGTATTTGTCTAAGTCGTGCTATTTGTCAGGGGTGGATTAGCAAGGTCTACAGAGAGTTTCTGAGGCAGGAATTCATCTGAACTTGCCCTTCAACATATTTCCCAAGTTGTCTTTATTGGACCTCTTCACCTGAAGGTATTTTGATTCATTGGCAGAGGATTATACTAAACGTAGGTACTGTCTGAATGCTGTAAATGTGTGCAATATATAAATGCTTCTTCCTGCCAGAGGAAGGAAGACGGCATCTTCCTGCCTGTAGGAGTTAATTGTTTTTCTTGCACTAATGCCAGAGTTTTTGGCTTTCTGCAGAAGAGGCACCGTCTGAAATCCCACAGGATAATAGTTGAATGGATTGGGGTGGAAGGTTGGCGGAAGGGGAGCAGAGAAAAAAGCTATAACGTCTGACGTGGATTGGAATGCTTCTGGTGGGAAGAGCTGTTTGAAGATTCTATTATGGCTGTGGTTATAGTATTGTGTTACTTATCTCCTTTAGTCTGTCCTGGGTAAACACCCCAAATTAGAAGAAGAATATCTGAATTTCTGCCACATGTTCTCATATTGATTAGATACTCCATTAAAAAACCAAACCCCACATAATTCTGTCGTCCCTGAATGGCTCAGCCATGTGGTTAATTCCTATGCTTTTGTATATTAAATACCTATCCTCTGCTCAGAACTGGAACATTTTAGCACAGTTACTGAAACAGGAGCTGTAGGCATGGTTTCCTGGACAAATCTCGATCTCCTTGATTATTTTGCTTGTCCTTTGTATTTGATTCCTAGTTTATTTAAACCTTGTTCCCATGAGGCTGATACATTTCTGGTATTGGATTTATATTTCTTTTTTAAAAGTAATAATGTCATCAAATCAGCTATGACTTGCATCTTGTGTTTTCTTTCAGAACTAAAGAGAGTATGTATCATGCACTGACTTACGCCACCATACTGGAAATGCAAGCAATGATGACATTTGATCCTCAGGACATACTGAATGCAGGAAACACAATGAAGGAAGCTCAGGCTACTTGCCAAAAGTAAGCATGGAGCAATTCAGTCAATAAATGTGCCCTTCATGGGAAAGTTTTGAAAGAGATACAGGTTAAAAAAGGACACGTTCTATAGAAATCGTGGAAAACTGAAGTTGGAAGGGACATCAGGAGTACCTCTAGTCCAGCTGCCTGTTCAAAGGAGGGTCAGTTATGAGGTCACACCACATAACTTTGGCTTTTCAGCAGTCTGGTCTTGAAAACTTCAGTTTACTGCAATATTTCTTGTCAGTTAGGTTTTTGTTCTATCAGGAGCCCTGATTCTCCAGTGTCTGGAGGTTATTTACCGTTTACAGACACTGCAAAGTCTTCCCATTTGGTGATAGTAGTACTGTAGGTAGCTGTGTGTGAGTGAGCTGTGCTTCCACTTCTGTACACACATGAGCACATATAAAAGAAATCCAAAAGCCCCCTTGTCCCCTTTCTTCATCAAGACAGATTTCCACACATGAAGGGTGAAAGACAGATCCTGGGACCATGTTGGCTGTGCTCTGTAGGGAATGTGATGAAGTTTGTGCATATGGTAAGATGGCAGAGGGTTGAGCACTGGAGGTGTGTTAGTGACTCTCTGGGTGGCCAGCTGAAAGATATTGTACTCTGTTGTTGATGCTTTGTGTTCTTCACAATGACCAAATTGCCTTTTCTGCAGATTTAGGAAGAAATCTACAGTAGCTGATTCTATCAACAACCTTGTGCATAGACAAAGCCTTGAACACTTCACTGAAGGTAACATTGTCTCTAACGTGTTACTCCGTTACTCCTTTTACTTTTTACTCCTTCCCCCCCCTTTTTCTCTTTTCTTTCTTTAATTTGAATTGTGTAGTATTGTTCACCCAAATGGCTGATTTGGCAGTTGCTGTGTTGCCATATCCAAAATCACTAACTGATTTTGTTGATTGCTGCCTTGGCATTTCCAAAAATGAGGAACCTAGAAAGAACTAATGAAATGCCTACAAAGGTTCTAGATCCAGGAATTCCTGGAAAACACCAGAGGAATTCCTGCAAAGGTTCTGTAACTGTGTGTTGTTTCTGCTTGGAAACTACTGTTCCAGTAATCTAGGACTGAAAAACACTGCAGCAAATTTGGAAAGGTTTTTGCTCAGTTTGAGCTTTGTGATGTTCTTCCTGTATTAATGGGCTAAGTGGTTTTTCATGACTTTTTATGGGATTGATTTCTTTTCTTTCCCCCTCTGTGTTACACTAGAGGAAATCCATGCAGAAATTTGCTATGCTGAATGTTTACTTCAGAGAGCAGCACTCACATTCCTCCAGGTATGGATTCCTGCATGGCTCTTTGGGGGGGAAAAACACCATACACGTTTCTTAAAATGAAGGACATGGTAGAAGACCATAATTTGACCTAATGGTGTAAGACTCTTTTAACAGGATTAAATCTTGTGATGAGATAGTAGAATGCTTTTGTTAAACAGTGCTGCCTGTCTTTGAGAGAAGGGGAGCTCTACCTCTTCTTTGAATTTTATCTATCTAAACAAATGAAGCTTGATTTGTTTGCTGGTTCAACATTAGCAGTACTTACTTGGGCTCAGGTTTGCAACTGAAACTGTTAATCATAGTTGAAGTAACTGATTTTTCTTCTTGATGTGACTGTACTTGCTATATGACAGTGGGATCTCTTCATCTGTGCAAAAGGGACAATAAAAGTCACATTCACAAAGGGCTTCTGCTACTTGGCTCGAAGATGCTGATAGAGAATGAAATCCAGGTGGTGATTTTATAGTGTTTGGGAACTGCCAGATGGGCTCTGACTGAGGTCACATAAACCATGTAACCTTTTTCAGTGACCTGTCATGCCCCTCCTCTAGAAACTATTGCTTCATAGCAAAACCAGTAATCAGAGTAGCTTCTCCTGAAGACTTTTAGGGTGCTGATGATGGTGACTTCACGGTAAGATGCAGGACTTTGAAATGGCCACGGTGTAGCTCTCTATTTCCATATTCCTTTGGTTTGAGTAGCCTTTAGCACTGGGGACAGTTTGCGACAGCTGTGGAAGCAAGGTTTTTCAGAACTCGTTGTGTCTGTAAGAAAGGAGTGTTTTAATTCAGTGTCTCTTGGTTTTAAGCACTGTTTTAGCAGATATCTGCTTTTAAAAGTGTTCATAGATACATGAGAGATTTGAGAGTAAGAAAATGATTTCTTGTCCTCTTCTGCGCAAAGAATGTCTGTTCGCTTCCTCTTCTGTGTTTAATGTTTCATGAACAGGTTTTAAGAATTAAACAGAGGCACTTGGTTCCAACAGCTGTTGCAGTGGGTTAGGCGTGATGCTTAACAAAAATGACCAAATCCAGTTGAAAACACAGAAAAATTAGTCTCAGGATTTTTCAAGGGCTGGACTATTCTCATGTCAGTTATCTCTGTTGTTGGTATAATGAGTATTCTGAATTTAAGCATTTGAGAGCCATCTTGTTTCCTCTTTCAATTTGCCATTCAAAGGAAAATATAACTGAATCTTTAATTATGGTTAGGTATGCAGTACAGCCCCCCTCCCCCCCCCAGTTGCTAATTAAAAACTGATTTTTACTTGTGATTGGGATTCACATGTGTGGGGATGTATCCTCAGGAATTATATGTTCATTTATGGTGCATAGTTTCTGTCCTCAGCAATCATAATAACATTGCTTAAGAATGACTTTAAAGGACACAGGTCTTGTTGCAAGCTGCAGGAGTAGTAAGCCCCTGCCCTTCAGTTCCAGCCATCAGGCTTCCTATGGTAGGTCATAAAAAGCAAAGTCTGGAAGAAGTTGAGCTGTGATGGTTGGATCAAGTTATTTTCCTTACAGCAGATGGAAAGCACTTTGAGGCAGGTTCTGTCTCTTTGTTTACATGTCAGTGAGCACAGTTGGGCCCTGTTTCTTTAACAATAACAGCAAAACTACCAGATGTTCATCTAATCTATGGTATATTCCCCACAATGCTTCATACAGCCTCTTAAAATACCATCACAAAACCCGTCTGCTAAAACACATGTATTCTTCCAGTCTCAAACTAATAGCAGGTATCAAAACAAACCAGAATGACAGGTTATATTTGATGAGTGAGGCAAGAAACTGCCACCAAAAGTTACAAGGCTAAAGAGTTCTCTCTTTGGAGTATAGCTGTAAACTAATGGTCCCCCAGACACGCTTTGCTGCAAGTTCTCAGTTTGTTACAGTTTGTAATGTAACATATTACTATGCTAGTATGGATCTCATAGATACCTGAGTATTCAGACCAGAGAGAGCATATCCAGCATAACTCTACTTACCCTGCTTCCTTTTCAGGATGTAAAACCATATTCTTTAGACTCTGTAGGACAGGCTGTTATTTGTATCTGATGTTGAGCCAGGAAATGTTCACATCTCAACTGTGCTGAAGGACAAATGAGAGACAGCTATTTTTTGAAAGCCACAAATTCTTACTACCTTAGGTACCATTCATTAGCTTAGTAACTGTGTCCATTAATCCAAACTCAGATGTTCCAAAGGTTACAGGGGGCTAAACTAATCACAGAAGGCATCAAAATGAATTGCATATGTGTGAACAGAATAAATAATATTTTAACATAGAAAGGAAATCCTAGATCCCTGTATTGTTTCTCAGAGACTAGCATGGTCTGTGTCATGATGGTTATGTTTAAGGCATGTGCTCATATGAAGAAGACGAAAGCCCCTTATAATGCTTACAGTTCATGTTGCTAATGTGTTTCCATTCTAACAGGATGAGAATATGGTTAGCTTCATTAAAGGAGGCATCAAAGTCCGAAACAGTTACCAAACATACAGGTGAGTCGGAGTGCTGATGTGATGAAGTGTACTCTTTCACTATAAAGTGTTGCTGGGCAAATTGTCCAATTCACAAATAATTACTGTGGTATTCATGGCAGCCTTTATTATGGGCCCCATGTCTATAGGGTTTCTCAGCCCAAATTCCTCCTTTGCATGACAAACCATATTATGGTTGATTTGTATTGTAAAGATAGTGGACCCTAACCCTGTTAACTCCCAAGTTTTGCCTACTTCAAGTACTGTATACTTGAAATTATGTCAAAAAATGACTGTTCTAAATGATATAGTGGTGTGTGTCAGCATAGTGCAGTTTTGATGTCTCGCAGTCACTGGGCATGTGAAATGGCGTTTCTTTGTAGTTCTAGCTACGGCTTTTTGGAACATTCAAAAGCAGTAGTTGAAGCAGAAGTAATTCCATAATAAATGCATGAAACTAAAACAAAATGAAGAGACAATAAATTGAAGTATAAAGGGCTTCAAACAAAGATTAAACAAATTTACAGGAAATAGGCTTATGGGGGCTAGTTACCATAGTAAAACAGATGCAGTTTCTCTGGGTCATGAAGTCCCTGAACAGTCAATTCCTAGATGATGTTTTTTCCAAACATATGCCATTGAGTGAATTATTTGCTTAGCTGGACTTTTAATCTGGTTAAGTATGACAGTTGTTCTACTCTGAAGGTGCATGCTATTGAAAATGATAAGCAGGGCTGCTTATCTGAACTCACAACATGCCTATTACTCAGTGTCTACAAGCCAAAAACACGTACTTAAGCAGATTTCTTTTCATCCAGGAAGCTGGGGAGAGCTACTTTCAACATGTGCAAAAGGTTTTGAAGTGCAGTAGTAAATCCTAAAAATTACATTAAACTGGGCAGCACACTCAGTTGTGCCTCAGTAAATTAAGACCAGCTCTAGTATATTTAAAAACAAAGTGTTATAAATTTAGTGGTTCTTAGGTGGTCTTCGAAAGAATGCTAATAGCAACTTGCTTTGTACTAAAACATGTATGTTAACAAAGGAGAAGTTTGTATGTGCAGTTGGCAGTTACAATTGTTGGACTGTACCTTTGATGTGGGAAGAAAGAATTGTTTGCAGCATTGGCAAGAGTGTGTGCAACAGGTTACAGAGAAAACACTGGAATATGGAAACGAGACTTTATTTGCTTGGATTGATCAGTATTGTTTACAACATAGCTTTCATATAAGAAGCTGTCTTTCCTTTTGCCACTGTTAGCAGTTGCTGTTTGGTAATCTGCAGCAAGAACCATTAAAAGACAGGAGGAATAAAGGTTGCAAAAATACAATTTTTATCAATTTACAAGTCCTTTTCAGGGAGGAAAGGTTACCATACACTGTAAAAAAAGATGGAATGAGCTAAAATGGTCATTCAGGTTAAAACATTTGCTTATTGTCAGTGAATAAGAGTATAAGAAAACTTTCACAGTAATACAGGCTTGTATGAATAATTTGAAGAAATGAAAGCTAAATGTGCATCATATTTTGTTGCATTGTAGGACTTGAAATTTGGACTCAGCCACAAAAAGTCACATCTAGCAGATACAAAAGAGCATCCAGTCCAGGTTCTCCATAAGTATACTGAAAGGGAGAGAGATGACTGTCCATAGTTGTGTGGGTTGAAGGCAACTCTAAATGCAGGTCCATTGTAAAACTTCATTTATAACAAATATTGCTTTATCTGCTGGCAACAAGCAGTAGATAAAAACATGAGAGCCTGAATGCAAATATGTGGCTGCCATTAAAAAAGGTTTTTTTTCCTTCTCCTGGCAATTAACAAAATGAACTAAAACAATAGCGTGAAAAACACATAGCTAAAGAAAACTTGGAGACAAAACAGGTTCAAATCCATCTGGATTGCACAGGGAAGTAAAGGGATACTACAAAGCTGAGACCTAGAAAAGGTAGAAAAATCAGCAAAAAGTAATTTCGAATATACCTGCCCTTTTAAAAATATTTCTTACTGTTTTCCTATATATAATAAAATGTTCTTTTCAGTGAACATGAGGAAGAAGGGAATACCTTCAGGGATTAGTGAAACTCAGATCCAGTTTGCTAATTTAAATTTCACTCTCCTACACTGCCCCATCATCTCTTTTCATATTAGTAGAGGTTTATATTGCTCCCAGCAGCCATTCTTGACACATTTTCAGGCAGAAATGTGGTTGCAAATTGACTATGTCAGTTTGACAGAAATTAATCTCCAGGACTCCATATATTTTTGAATTGGTGGTAGTGTGACAGAAATGATTTGTGGATAGAGCCAACAAAATGTTTGTTCACCTGAGTGAGATGACAGACTTTAAACGCCTGTGTAATTCAAGGTGACTGGGTTACTTTCTTTCTGAATTGTAATCCATCATTTTATTTATTGACAATGTAACAGATCCCTGTGCATTTGCAGGGAGCTGGACAGTCTCATACAGTCTCCACATTATGTCAAAGGAGAGAACCATCTTCATTTTGAGGGAGGTGTAAAACTTGGAGTTGGAGCATTTAATCTGGTACGTACCAAGAGTTCTTCTCTTGAAGTCCTGCAGCCTCCTGAAAATGATTCTTAACACCTAAGAAGTTCCGTGAACATCACTGTTACTAATTGTATGGTTATAGGATGTGCTCTGACACAGGATCCTCATCTCTGGTCTCAGAATGTCAGACAGTAGTACACTTTAGAAATAGACTGCTACTTGCAGCATGGGCAGCACTGCTTTGTGTGTGCAGACCCACTTGTGCATCCTCATGGGGAGATTATCAACTAAGAAGTTATCTCATCTGATATGGGTTTAAGGGCATGTTCTTTGAGAATATAGCTGAGTGCCTGAGCTCAGCTTCCAGTAAAGGTGATCATTAGCCAAGTGACCAGTGACTGGGAGGTGCTTGGAGGGAAAGGTATTATAGTCTCATGAGAAGTTACAAACTAGGATGGGGGCCAGGAGAAGCCTTGCTCAGAAGCAGCAGTTGCCTGTGCTTATTGATTTCCATGTACTGTTTAACTGGCACTTGGGAAGCAACCAGGGACTTGGCTGTTAGCAGGGCAGTATTTCTGAAGCATCCAAGAAGTACTGGAGTTACTAAGTGCCGTGTAAACATATTTCTGTGCAAGCAATCTTGGAGACACAGGTTCCCTATATTAAACAGGTACTTTTGTTTAAGTTGTATGTAAAATATAGTAGGTGTGCATATTTGGCCAGAAAATAGTCAGACATAAAGATGTTTTTGGTAATTTCAGTGTTTGGAAAAGTTGTAGGGGACAGTGGGTAGCTGAGAGGCATACAGTGCATTACTGCATAACTGTTGCATTTCTTTCCATAGACATTGTCCATGTTTCCTGCACGGATACTGAGATTGCTGGAGTTTGTTGGTTTTTCTGGGAACAAGGTAAATGTGAACTAAGTATTGGTACATTCCTCTCACTCTTAAATTGTGAACTGAGACAGGAGCTTCTCTCTTCTTCCTCATGTTAGCTCAGTAGAGGCAAAAATCAAATAGTTCTATATGTCAGTTACGACAACAAGCCAACTTGTTTCTCTCCTAGAAATGTAAGAGCAGTTCATGTACCAGCAGGGTTCCGAGAACACTTTGCTGAACACTCCTCTTATTACTGCAGATGAAAATTGTCCCTCTAATTGAATTTGTGATGTTTTCTTTTGGCCCTGGGATTTCTTGTATGGGTATGAGTGGGCTGATATTTGTGTTGATGAGTCAGCTCCTATTCCAGTCTTTTTAATAACTCACTGAAGCATGACCTATGTTATCATAAATCTAAGTGAAACCCTGCTGTCTGCACACCATAAATTATGGAGTATTTTAAACATGTTGATCAAAGCTCATTGATGAGCATTTACTTTAGCGTCCTAAAAAGGTCTTTTTGCATTTACCATTGGTGAGTCAGATGTCTAAAGCCAAAAGCAGAATTGAAATTGCATTTTCAATCATTTTGAGTGGTGATTTTCCAGAGCTTGCAAGAAGCTGTCCCCTGCAGTACAGGCAGGAGTCTGGAAGGTAAAAGAAACAGTGACAGAGGAGGAGAGGGAAAGGAGTTTAGAATATGTCTGTATTTGATCTTTAAATCTTTTCCATTAAATGCTCATGGTGAGCATCAGATTGTGCAAGAGACAAAAGAGCCATGGTTAGTGCCTTGAGCTGTTTACAGTTTATCTGAGAGAAGTGCAGAGCACTGGAAGGCACCTTGCTTTTGGTGTGGGTCATGTGTTTATCAGAACTGGATTTAAAATTGCATTGTGATATCTTCCACGATACCAGTCTGCCTTGGAGCCAGCAGATTTACCCCGAGGGACTCTTCTTGTCTCTCAGACATGTCGTGTCTGATAGTAAATGAGGACATGCCCAAAGCTTCATTACTCCCAAAGCCATTTGTAGGCACTGTGGACAACATGATCAACTTAACAGCAGTCTGGAGTCTCAAAATAGTAGGTAGGGATAAGATCAAGAAAGTATAAAAGTAGCCTGAGGCCATGATTGTTCCCTTCCAGTCCAACAGGTGCCAGTTGTGCTTGTCTCTCTGTTTAAGCTCTGTTCCCCTGTATCGTTAGTCAAAATACGGGCTTATTTGTATTTAATAGCATAGGACCTGTGTTTGGGCATTTAGGTTCAATGCAGTTTTGCCCAATTTTGTAAGAAGTTTTTTGTGGGCAGAGGTTTGTGGAACACACCATCAGGTACACTGTCCTGGGGAGGCTGGCCTTCCTCACTCACTGGGCAGTAAGTGGGGCACGTGTTCCATCTGGACTTTTTGTGTTTAATGATAACTAACTTCTGATGTGAGATCAGAAGAGTCCTTGCACTATCTCCCATGTAAGCACTGAACTGTTCTTCCTGACTCCTCTGCCTGGTCTCAGGCTAAATATTTACTCTCGTTCTTATTTTATAGGCAGTTACAAATACTGTGCTGCTGAACTGTGAAGAAGTCTGACATGAGCAATTTGTCAGGGGGTCGATGACAGCATGATTTCAGAGCAGGAAAGCTTTCAGATAGAACCACTGTCTTTCAAATTGTACTGTTTGATGTGGGAGGACACTTTTCCTAAAGCAGCTGAGCTGAAGAATATTTTTGATATGTCAGTTTGTAATACCTGGGTTCCAGTTCGTCACTAAAGCATCTTTTTGAATTGCGTCTTGGTCTCTTCTCCACATTTTAAATGAAGACTAAATCTAAAATGCTACATTCAAATGTGCTGTCTATCAGTTTAATTAGTATCCATCTTCCTTGCTAAGCCTGCAGTAAAATGATCAGGTCATGGGACATGACCTTGCTTTGCTTTCCTTGTCAGGATCCATAATTAAAAGGGAGTGATCTCAAAATATCATTAAAGAGCATTCACATCAGAAAAGTAGATGGATTTTAGTCAGTGGCAGCTAAAATAAGCATGAATCAGTATCAGCATTGTCTGATAATGATTTTGAGCATTGTCCTTGTTCATCCCGTATTCACTAGGAGGAATCCCCACTGCTCATATGGGGAGTCCTGAATGACAGAGCACTGGATGTCCTGGGGCAAGGATCAAATCAGTAAGATACCAGTGTAACATAGTGTAGTGGCAGTCTTGGGAATTAAGAGATTGTGGGATGTTATGAGCAACTTGCGAAGGAAGGTGAGAGTTAGTGTACTGGATCACATTAATCATAGAATCACAGAATAGTTAGGGTTGGAAAGGACCTTAAGACCATCAAGTTCCAATCCCCCTGCCATGGGCAGGGACACCTCACACTAAACCATCTCACCCAAGGCTCTGTCCAGCCTGGCCTTGAACACCACCAGGGATGGAGCATTCACAACTTCCCTGGGCAACCCATTCCAGTGCCTCACTACCCTCACAGTAAAGAATTTCTTCCTTATAGAATCATAGAATAATAGAATCATTAGGGTTGGAAAGGACCTTAAGATCATCTAGTTTCAACCCCCCTGCCATGGGGGCATCTATATCCAATCTAAACTTCCCCTGTTTAAATTTTAACCCATTACCCCTTATACCTTAATTCCCTTCAGAGTAACTTACATTTTCTGTGAAAACAAAACCTAAATGTGTTAATGTCATTTAAATATTTTGGAGAAATTACGAGAATTTACTGCCTCAACATCTGTTTTATATTGCAGCAATATGCCCTGTAATAGACTTTTGTTTGGAAGCTCCTTCCTGGTGTTCTGGGATTGCTCATACCACCTGTGGCATAGGTGTGGGAGATATTTATGGGTTATTTATGATTAGAAGGTGTGTCCTAACAATTAAATGTAATATACTCACTTAGTGACTGGCACCAGGGAGTGTAGTTTGCATACAGAATTCCTCCTTAGGCTCAAGTAGTAGCTGCCTGTGATTTGTTTCTGAGATACTCATTTGATCCCCAGCGAGTATTACATGGAGGTATTGCCCAGCTCATGACACCTCTCTTAGCTGATTAGGTTTGCTGGCTAATCTCCTTAGGCTCCCTATGGAGAAAGAGTAGGTGCTTGAAAAGGTGATTCATGCCTGACCTTAGGCTTCTATGCTGAATTGTTCCTTGGAGGAGTACCTCTGAGTCCACAGCCACAGAGGGAGCCTAGGGAGGCTGGCTGGCTGAGCATGGTATCTAAAACAATTTAAGCAGCAACACCATCATCTCGCTTTTCTGTGGATCTCATCATAACAGAACCAGTTTGCAAGGGTTTTTTTGAGGAAAAGCAGCTTTGTTGCAGCCTTTTCTATACACAGATGTGTAGTACTAATAGCAACACCTTCCAGATTTCTCTTTTACAGACTGATTATATTGTAACTTTAATATAGAAAGGTTGGGGTATTCAAGTGGCAGAGTGAAAAGTAAGCATTCTTTAATACCTGTGCTGGACAAAACAGGATTATGGACATACCACAGAGAGAACTAACTTGCTCGGTGAGTTTCCCATACCTGTGCAACTACTCAGCTTTAGGGTCAAGTGTGCCAGGTTTGCATCCTTCTGATGAATGGACAATGTTCTTAATCCGGTTACTTCACAGTGACTGCTTTCCAGGATGAAGTCCCACGCAAGGAGGGTTCAGGTTGCATTCTTTGTTCATAGAGATGATAACTTTGTGTTTGCCTGTATTAAAATACATTTTTGAGACTAAAATACATGAGATCAACTCAACAAATTATTACGTTATTCCATATGAGTAATAAAAATTGTTTCTGTATCATTCTTAGTGCTATTCACAGATGTGATCAGCATTCTTTTTATGTGTTTTTCTATTATGTGGAAGATAATGACTGTAAACACTGTTAAGTGCTGGTACTGATGTCAGTAAAGGCTCAGTGGAATATCCAGCCTGAAGATTTTTCACTTCAGAAAAATGTACTTTGGAAATCTACTTTGGGATTTTTTTTGCCAAAATTCATTCCATAGAATGTTTTGTCTTCTCCCTTGCAGTGCTCTAGTGCTGGGTTTTAAAATCCACATATTTGTGGGTCTCATCTGGGCAGTTTAAAGAAGCTGAATGCATCATATTTTATTACTTATCTGTATCAATCAAACTTTTGCTCTTTGCAGCAATTGCAGTTGGCTTTATTTTGCAGAGTGCTTGATTTCCATTATTGTCTCTGATTTTCAGTAGTGATTTTGCTAGCTTTTAATCTCTTCTGAAGTGACATGCAAGTTAGTATTGTCATTATTTTGCTGTGACTAAATGTTGCACTAATTGACCTGCAGATATGTTTGTTAATTACCTTTCCCTGTAATAAATGCAATAAACTGAGATTTATGGAAAACCCCACCAAGCAGCTGTATGTGTGTGAAAACACAGCCACACTAGTTAAGTGAAGAAATTCATGTATGATGAAAATTAGAATAAGTGTGAGGTAATGTAACACTCTTCTGTTGTCAAGGACAAACAAAAGATTAAAATCTGTGTTGAGATGATGCTCTGAGTGCTGTTCTGATACCTCCCACAGTGGCTCCAATAGGCATCCCTCAGGGTCCCTATTTATAGTGTAGCTGGTTTGAAAGGATGTCCTTATAGACACATACATCGTGTTCCAGTAACTTTCCATTGCAGTCAGAGTGTAAATTTGAAACAGAATTTTCCCCAGCACACAGGGGATGTCTCACTGTACATATTTACTAGTAGGCAGATCTCATGCTTAATACTTTTGCATATTTATATTATAGAATCATGATAGAATAGTTAGGGTCAGAAAGGACCTTAAGATCATCAAGTTCCAACCCCCCTGCCATGGTCAGGGACACCCCACACTAAACCATCTCACCCAGGGCTCTGTCCAGCCTGGCCTTGAACAACACCAGGGATGGAGCATTCACAACTTCCCTGGGCACCCCATTCCAATGCCTCACCACCCTTACAGTAAAGAACTTCTTCCTTATATATATTCATGCTGTTGATCTCATGGAACCAGTTCTAGAATGGGCTGCTGAATGCTGTGGCCTCAGGAGCTTGGATCCTTAAAGCTGGTTATCCATCATGCTCTCACTGAATATAAATACACTGTATACTTGATTGCTTTAGTTCTTCCCAAAGGGAACAGAATATTCTTTTTCATCATATTTTTCCACTTGTAGTAGTGGGCCAGAATCATTGCAAAGCTCCTTTTGTTCTTGGCATGCTTAAAAACTTCCTTTTGCTCTGTCATCTTTTGTCCTGCTAGTTGCAGATTTTATTTCTTTTCTTGATATCTAGAACTTGCTTCTGCAGTGAATAACAACAAACATGGATAGGCTGCACAATGGTGATATGCGCTATTGGCCTTGCCTTTCAAAACTGTGGGGTTTTGTTTCTGGATTGCTGTTTAGCAGCACTTGGATGGTGGTGATAAGTTGTCTCACATTCTCTTACATTAACCATGCAGTACATCCCAAGTTGCTGCTCTGTCATCAGACGTTTTTCAGGCTAACTTTGTAGAATCCTGTTAGATATGTGTATTTTTGTCTTTGATCACTGTGTAAGCAGTGTATGTCAGTGCATTTTGGGATTTTGGTGAGTGAGCAATTTCTAGTTGATATTGCAGAAGTTAAGCTAGCAAAACACAGCTTTGTTTCTTGTCCAGTACTTTGTCCTCCTCACCTCTGTTTTCACAGGAGCATGGTCTGCTGCAGCTTCAAGAAGGAGCATCATCATACAGCTTTAGGTCGGTGCTGTGTACCATGCTGTTGCTTTGCTATCATACTTTCATGACCTTTGTGTTAGGTAAGATTGTTTATAATAACTCTTGGTTTTGATTAGTTCTTGTGGGACACAGGGGAAAAAAGTGATTCATGACCAGATTAAATGTAATTCATTTGTGGGTAATTTTACAATAGTGATTATTATATATTCACAATATATAACTCACAGTATATATTATAATTCACAATATATATTATAATTCACAATACTGAATTGAAGAGAATGTCTTAATCTTCAAGATGGAGGTTTGTTTCACATATAAGAAGGGAGACAATGGGGATAGCATAAGAAGTTGAGAACATTAAATCTGTCTTCAGTACTCAGGTACTTTATTGGGGAAGTTAAAATAATGGTTGTGAGTGATAACTTCCCAAATACTTTCTTCATGTTTATGTTGTCCCTAACTTTTCTGGGAGGTGATAGCTTCCCACTGAGATGTATCTCCCTGTTATCTCCTGCTAAAGCATTCTACAAAATGTGTTTGTCTATGCATAAGTGGATTTTCAAGTCATTAAACGCAGTGTTGTTCAGGTGTTCCTGCTTGTTGGCTTTAGTCAACTCCAACCTGTATTTATGCCTTACTTATTGAGAAAGGACTTACATGTTGGCCAGATGAGGATGGCTAATCGGTACCTTGCATTCTTGTTTTGTTGTTGTTTTCCTTACTATTTATTATCACTTGCATTTTTATGCATTCTAGGGACAGGAAAAGGAAATGTAGAGGAGGCAGAAAGACTACTCAAGCCTTACTTGGCACGCTATCCAAAGGTAAAATGAATCATTATTTAATTTGGTGTGACTGTTCAATGTTTTTTTGCCAAACAACAAAGATCTAGACTGTGTGGTCAGATTGAAAACTGTTGTAGAATACTTGTATTTTTATTATTATTTATTACAGGGAGCCATATTCCTGTTTTTTGCAGGCAGGATAGAAACACTAAAGGGTAATATTGATGCGGTAAGTAATCTTTTTGCTCTTGGGAAAGTAAGTTTCAAAAGCTTTAGAAAAACTCCTCCAGGAACAGTGTTTCCTTTTTGGCTAATGCTTCCTGTAGCTTTTGCCTATGGATAGTTTATAGACTATGAATTACAGCTATTTTGAGTGCCTTGTTTGACCAGCTGGTTTTGCTACCCTTCTCAGTTTCAAGTGATAATATAGTCCACCAGTATTAATGGCACAGTTTTCTCACTGTCTTTCCTATTCTGAATCGAGTTGTGCCATTAATAATATCCAGTGGTAATCGTTTGCCTTCAGTCTGATTTGGAGAGTCATACAAGACTTGAAAGAATTAAGGAGATGAAGAAGGTATGTCCAGAAAATTCTGAGAGTATTAGCTGGTATGCAGTGTGGTAGCTCCCTTGGAATCTTTGGAGCTGCAGCAATAAACGTCAGCTGAGAATCTGTCCTCTGCCTTTAGTTTCCTAATTTCCCTAGACACGAACATTCATTTTGCCTGTGCTTAAAACTTAATACAACTTCCAGGAAAGGGGAGGTTTGTGCCAGGGATAGACTTGCTAACACCAGAACGGCTGTAGATGCATGAATCTCTTGTGTGAACCCAACAGATGTGATTTTGGGGAATACTGGATTTTTACTAATTTGGAAGTTGCAAGAGCCATGCTGGCAGATCGTGGTGCCCCAATGTCTATTACAGCATTGGTGTATGTGCATTTACACATGATTAAAGCAGCGTTTGGAAATCTCTGTGTTCAGGCAGTTAACAGGTATGAAGAATGTTGTGAGGCTCAGCAATACTGGAAGCAGTTTCATCACATGTGTTACTGGGAGCTCATGTGGTGCTTCACCTACAAGCGCCAGTGGAAGATGGCTTTCTTCTATGCGGACCTGCTGAGCAAAGAAAACACTTGGTCAAAGGTAAGTTAAACAAAACAGGAGAATGGAAGGCCCTGTGGTATCTATTAACTTTCAATCAGATTAAGTTTTTGTAGCTTTCAAGCTTTTATAGCCTTGAAGGTAAAGATTGTAAAACAAAGCCTGATCTGCTGTGGCTTTACTGAACAATGTGAATTGCAACCATTCAAATCTGACCAGATTGTGGGCAGACAGAAATCTTTTGGGTGTGACTTGTAGATGAAGAACAGCTTGTTAAAGGTGTTCTGCTGTGTACTGACTGTGTCATCAGCACATTGCAATTAGTGGCACAAGTTGCCATTTCTTTCAGTGCATTATGGAAATAAGCTCTTTTGGTGATGAGCAAGAGTAGCCATGATGGTGCCTCCAGGATAATAAATGTAATTAGAAGAGGCGCCTTGCCTTGTGTGTCTGAAAGAGAGAAGCTCTTCCATCCAGAACCTTCCATCCTCCTTTTGTCTTCCCCTGAGCCCCAGGGAAATCTGTCAGAAGGGATTAAGTCTGGCTGGGGGTGTAGGTGGTTCATTGGTTGGTTGTTTCTTCTTAATGTGGTCAGGCTATGTGTATAGGGAGGGTATCTCTACTTTTCTACCATGCATTGTATGTATTGGTCAAGCGGAATCAAAGCCAACGTAAGGTCCAAGCAGACAGGTGAGATCAAGTCTCTCAGTACTCCCACTTAGGTGAAAACTGCAGTATGGACTCCCTGTGCCCCTGGGGACTCCAACAGCACATTCAGCTGGGTGCATTATTCTGAATAGCTCCCACAGAACTCCCACAGGCAGAGGTGCACCACCTGGCTTAAAAGCATTAACATCCTGTGGGATTAATATTAGCATGTGTCCTTTTAAATTGTGTGTAAAGTTTTAGATTGCGTTGCAAGGGCTTTAGAGAAGATGCTTTCTATTCATATATAATCTACAGTGCAATGTGATAGTAGCAAACTAGTAACTACATGAGCTAAATGAAAGATGGTCTTGTACATGCACTGTTAGATTCCAGTGTAAATAAATAATCACATCTTAGAATATTCCAGAAAACTCCTGAATTTTGCGGTTATTGTATACTCCTTAAACAGTAATCAAGAACTCTCCAACTGTTATTCTCTACTGTTGTGAGAGTTGTAACATTCTCTGCTGCTTTGTTTTCCTTCAGTGTTTCCTTTGTTGCTGAATGTATGATTGTTCAGGAATCCCTATGAAGTCAGTACTTTTCATAACTAATGAAATCATGAAACCCTTCATGGAATCATTCTATGAACGTTGCACTTGACATCCCTGGCCAAACTGAATTCTCTCAGGCCTTTAGCTTTCCTAACCTGATCCCTGGCTGCTTGGACAATTTCTCTGTATTCATCCCAAATTACAGGTCCTTGCTTCCACCCTCTTTAGGCTTCCTTTTTGTGCTGGAGTTTGTTCAGGAGCTCCTTGTTCACTCACAAAGGCCTCCTCACATTTTTGCCTAACTTCTTCTTCGTTGGGATGCATCATTCCTGAGCTTGGAGGAGGTGATCCTTGAGTATTAGCAGCTTTCATGGGCCCCTCTTACCTTTTCACCAGCATGATATTTGTTCTTGGAATGTGGACGTAAACTATAAGCTGATACAAAGTAAACAGAGATGTCCATGGTAAAAACCAACAGCCCTGTACTCCATTTCCTAAAATACTTATCTCCTGCTTAAAATTTGGTGAGATCCCATCTGTGAGCAGAAGCAGCAATTTCTTCCTCTTTGTTGCTGTTTTATGCTTTATATCAATAATGGTGATGCTGTAAATTCACTTTTCTGTATATTCTTGGTTGCATTTGCAGGCTACTTACATTTACATGAAAGCTGCTTATCTCAGTATGTTTGGACCAGATGACTGCAGCCCTTTTGGAGACAGCGAAGTTGAATTATTTAGGTAAAATTTGCTAACTCCCAGTTACGAAAGTTTCCTATCCCTTCATGTCACAGCGTTGGAGCAAGAGAGGCAAGATTATTCATTGTGTAGTCTGGAAGATCTGCCAAATAGCATTGGACTGTTAAGAAATTGCAACATTAAACATTCCCTTAGACTGAAGTGGACCCTGAGCTTTCTCCTCGCCTGGAAATGCTTTAGTGATAGAAATCAGGTCTGTCAGCCATACAGTGGCTGCTGCTGTTGCAAGTAATATTCACATTCTTTCTCAGTTGTTTCCTTTAATCAACATTACATGTAAGATATGAAAGCTTTCAGTGGATTATTCTACAAGATGTGTGCCTTCTTCATGGAGACAGCAGTAGAACTTGATTCTTGGGGTTTTGAGTCTGAAAAGAATATGAAGGAGTTAAATGCGCAAGTGAACATAAGCATTATTAACACAGTGAGTTAACCTGCTTGTAATTTAAGATCAAAATTGCCTAAATCTTGCTGGGGTAAAGAAAATTGATTATTTTGGGGTTTGCAATTTTTCTATATAAATATTACCTTTTTTTTTGTGGCTGGTAATGATATTTCTTTCAGGTTTTCCATATATATTCATTACAAGCAGATTTCATTGGATTCTGGCACCGTTACAAAGTGAATAGGTGTGATATTTGGGATTATGAGAGGAACACTGACAAAAGCTAGCTTGCCTCTTCCTTAGTCTATGGGGAGAGATGGGCCTTTTATTAGTTAGGTGGACCATATAATTTATTCTTTGGGTGGGGAAGAGTCCCTCTTCTTCCTGCTTGATTAAAGAGGAAGCCTAGAGATATTCGTGCCCTGCATAAAGACAGCTTTTGTGAATATGTATTGCTCAGCTTCCCCAGAGGTAGCAGTACTTCAGTCTTCAGGAGCTTTTTTAATGTCTTTTGATTTGATTTTTTTGTTTAAGTTTGAAGATTTTTTTCCCCAAAGGTTCTCAGGAAAAATTCCTTACGTTTTCCTTTAAACTTTTAGGATTGTTCCCAGTTTGAAACTGAAAATTGCAGGGAAATCTCTGCCTACAGAAAAGTTTGCCATTCGGAAAGCTCGACGATATCTTTCTCCAAACCCCATTCCTCTGCCCGTTCCACCTTTGGTAAGTTAGAACTGTATCCCCCACCCCAGCCTTATTAACATCTTTTTAATTTATGGAAATAAACCCAAGATAATTAGAATAGTATCTTTCCATGTTTCTAAGGTAAAACCTCTGCAGGAGACTGGAATGTTCCCAAAGCAAAGCCAAATGAATGCGAGGAATGCTGTAAAACTGGGGCATGCACCAGCCACAGGGAACTAATCCAGTTGTTTGTGACACGTAAATGTGTTGCATGTGTAACTCATTATTCCAGCCATAGACTAGCATGTTCCTAGCAGCTTTCTTTTGATTCCCTTTTGAGGAACTTTGCCCTGGGTCTCTTCTGTCACGTGTCATTTACTGAGGCTTGCTAAAAGAAGACTTTAAGGTACAAGTTACAGGGGGAGGAGGGGGAATCAAGGAAACAATGCACGAATTGGGAACTGCATATAAGCATCAATTTAATGTGTCCCTGAATGTTTGCAGTTCGGTGCTTTGCAGAGCAACTCACGGGTGCCAGGATGAAACAACCAGATCCTTTAGCCACTTTTAACAGTATGCAGTGGTTTTCTGCCTTTCTTCTTTCCCTATTTTTTGTCTATAATGCTGGCCACATACCCGTGACCGGATGAGAACAGCTGCATTAAGGAACCCATTGCTTCACTTATAATGACTTAAAAAACCTGCCTGCAAAGAACACGTAAAAGAACACAAAAGGAGGTTTGCCAAGTGCAGTGGTGTTAACATTGCAGTGCTTTGAGATGTTGTGTTTGAGAAACAGATGGGTGATTAGTAAATAGTCCTAAAGAAAGCGCCTCAACAAGAAGAGTCTCTTGGAGACATCAATGAGTAGTCATTTCTCAGCCCACCAGCTGGGAATGTGACAGGGTGCTGCTTGAAGAAATAGAGTTGTTACTGCATAGCGTGGGTATTCACTAGGGGCCACTTCTCACCAAGTCTTGAGGCTGCAAGGAGAGAAATAATTAGGTTACCTTGATTTGCCTTTCAGGTTTCAGAGATTGCAGAGTCAAAAGTGTACACACCAGGGGTTTGGCTGGGCTATTCCAATGGGATTTTAGCAGAACAGGTGCCTGTACTAAACTCTCTTTGGAGCAGCTGGGCACTGCGTCCTTTGCTTCTGCTGCAGTTGCATTTCTGAGGCAGCAGATGCCGCAGCTGAACAGTTAAAAGCGCTCTGAAGATGTGGCATTGGGTGCAGAATCTCATCTCTAGCGTTTTTCTTTTCACTGTGAAAGGACTTGCTGAGAGGAGCAAGTCCTCAAGCAAGTCTTAGCGCAGAGATTTAGCCTGCAGTAAACGTAGGTTGAATGCTCCCATTTCAAAACCATGTTAACAAGTCTGCACTAGATAAAGTAGGTTCAGCACAGGTTTTCCAATTGATAGAGACCAGATGGTGAAAGCAACAGTGACTGGGGTTAACATGCTGTTTCATTCTGTTCTAGTCTGTCAGCTATTGGTACTGCAGTTCCAGAGCTCAGTTATTCTGTGCAGAAATTTTATTGGAAGGCTTTAAATGATCAAATACAGATGAGGTTGTATAAATAAATAGAATAAATATCTTGTCCTGAGGAGCAGTCTGTTTCTGTCTTTTAACTCTGTGATTGCTAGTGGCAATGAGCACATTTGGTCTGGTGATGTAATCTAAGAGAGAACCCCAGTAACAAATAGGAATTAAACCTATTTGTTAAAACCTAAGTTTTTAATACCATTTACCCTAAGAACAGATGAATAAGAAAGGAGTTACTTTCTATGGGAACATCAAACAAATCTGAGGAATTTAAGGGATTTACAGTTCAGCTCTAAAATTCTGTTGGTTTCTTTGGAGCTCGGCTTAAAGGTTAGAGGGGTGGTTTTCTTTTTGTTCTGTTTTGCTTTGTTGTTCTGAGGTTTCAGATATTTTCTATGGAAGCAATACATTGTAGTTAGTTATTACTGCTCTGGTTAGGATGCAACTGAAAACCAAGAGGAGAGCTTTATCAAGGGACAGTTAGCTGTGTGCCATGAATGTTTTAAGGTACTTGTCTTCATAAGTGACATTGTGTTTGTAGTCTGTTCAAGCAATCCTTCTTGCACTGTGTGTAGGAAATTGTTCTGTAGTTGTCTTCCAGGGCTGATTTGTTCTGAAATCCAATGTAATAAGTTTTCAGTTGCAACGAAAATGTGTTTTGACAAACTAACCCTTTATTTAAGGAATCTCTAACTTTTTCTTCATACAGGGATAAAGTAAAGTATTTGATAACTGCATTTATCCAGTACTGTAACTAATGATGCTGTCATTTCTCCCTGTCCCTAGGAAATGATGTATATCTGGAATGGCTATGCTGTAATTGGAAAATGTCCCAACTTAACAGAAGGCATGTTAGGGACTCTAATTGAAGCAGAAGAAGCATTGGCAAGAAGTTCAGGTAATCAGTGGTAGGGTTTAAGCATTTGTAAAGGGTATTTCAGAGTGCAATAGCTAAAGATATTATCTGTAAATAGAGACACACTCAGTAGTAGTTAATTTGATCGTAGGAGGAACATAGGTGATGAAACCATAAACTGTTTATGCAGATAGTAATAATTTTCCTTTTTAATGCAGCAATAACTTACAACAGTAGCAAGTGATTTTCCATCCATTAGGAATAGTTTGACATGTGTAAAAGGACTGTTTATTTTGCTAGATCGAAACAGTGTATGCGTCGAGGTGATTACAATCATGAAGCTTTGTTATCCTTAGATACTGTATTGTTATTATACAGTTATCAAGGATAAATAGGAGATCAGTTGGTCTTCTGTTTTAAAAGTGCTGTTGATTTATGATATGACCTTGGGCTGAGTGGTATTTGTGTATCAACAGTATGCTATAGAAACCTGGCACATCAGGGTTGAGCTTCCTTTGCGCTGTGAATGAGTGTAAGATGGTATTGAACTGGAACAGGCTCTGCTACCACATCTTGTGTCAGTCTGTTAATTAGGCTTCCATGAGAAAGTTGAATTGATGCTTATTTCTTGCCAGTCTTTCCCAACTCCTGTGGGAAAGCAAGCAGTCTGCACAGCTTTCCTCACAAAGTTTTCCCTTGCTAAATATTTGATCTTATTATTCTATACTACCTTCTTGCAAAAGGATGAAGCCCCTGTTGACAAAGGAGTGCGGTCTAAATCACTGCGTTGCAGTCCTTTTCTAGGACCTTTGTCTTCCTGTACACATTGCGTTACACAGTATTTTAAAGGGTTGCTGGAAAGACCAGCTAAAGCTATCTCCTTGTTAATTAATTGAAGAAGAGTATTTTCAGTGGGAGGTGACATCTTAGAGGAAGGCTTTTTGACCCTTTCACCTTCTTTGTCACCCACTTTTTTACAGTATTTTGAGTAAGTGAATTATTCTCAGTTCCCTTTTTTCCGTAGTTGGTAAATTGGGGATAAGGCCAGGTTTTTGCAGGGGGTTGTAGAAGCTGATTCATGTTTTTGAAACTCTGTAATCAAAGTGGGATTGTTTTTAAACATGCCAACAGTTTAAAGTATTACCTGTTCCAAATTGTGACTTGCTGTTTCCTTGAGCTTTCTTGACAGTGTTTGGGGCTAAACTATTGCATTTTCAAGTATTTTCAAGTATTATGAATCTGAGGATGTGCTCCTAGTAGTGTTATATCATATAAGATGTAAAGGAAGCCTGTTCATGGAATTAATGTCTAGAAATACAATTATGCATATCAGATTCGCATCTAGGATAGGTCCCTAAATGTTTGCTTAAACAATCCAGGGCAGTTTATGTTGTAATAGAATAAACACATGCATGTGAATGTGTTCTTGAGACAGCTATCCAGAAGAGACAACTGATCTGCTTTTATTTTATTCGTATGAAATAATTCTTCTGTGGCCCTGAGTCTCTCACTGTGCACATAATGTATGTCAGCTTTTGCCCTCTTCCTTGTTCCTTCTAAGTTAGTTTGCTGCATAGTCTTTGGGCATCTTCCCTTGGGTTTGCTTTGGTGGCATACATATGTAGAGGTCTCTGTGGGACTTGTCAATAGAAGTGACTCCAATTGTGTGACCAAGGCCTCCAACTGCTTAGTCTAAAGGAAAACAGCTGCTTCATGCAGTGTGTGTCAGCATTTAATCAGCTGCAGTAACAGAGAAAGAACCAGGTAAGGTTTAAAGCAGTGAAAACTGGATGACGTTGGCTTGCACGAGATGCAGTATCACACATTTTGCAGAAATTCTTTTCAGTTTGTGTTTCATGACTTGGAAATGAGCAAGCAAGCTGGAGACTTTGCTTGTGAACTTCACAGCTGCCTGTACGGAACAGCTACAGGAAAGCCAGATGTGTTCTTTGAAAAGCACTATGCAAGAATATTCTGATGGAGAAAAGGCGTTGATAGTAATGACTTTGAACTAGGCACTGGTAAGGCTGGTAAGAATGACAATCAAAGTATAAACTCAAAAAGAGGTGAATGTTTCTGTTTAGCCATTAAAAGGCAGAGAATTGATAAAACACTTCCATATGAATAAGCCATGTGACTAGAAGTCAAGGAAAGAGAAGAGCTGTAGATACTAAAGGGCAATAGAGGCATAAGGTTAAGAGATTATAAATTGGATCTCAATATTTACAAAATGACCACCTTAAATTAGTTTTTAGGTGTCAGAACAATAAGATTGTGGGAAAAGAGTGGGATTCAGTGGGATTAGGGAGGGAAAAAACAGCCCAAGAATTGTTAGACAGAGTTTGTTCTATGTATGAAAAGCTTGATGCATGCTTGTGTCAACTAAATTGACCAGTTATTTCTTTCTGTCCCATGTTCCAATAAATGGATTGTTCTAACACCTACCTATGTAGAAGCTTCTATACAGGTAGGAAAGTCTTTGCTGCTCTAGAGTGTTTTAAAATGTACCATTTACTTCATGTTGCAGCTACAGAATTATTGGCAGATGACCAGTGTGTGATAAAACTGTTAAAGGGCTTGTGCTTCAAGCATTTGGGCAAGATCTCAGAAGCAGAAGACCATTTTAATTACATCTATTTACAGTAAGTTCTCATACCCAGCATACGGGAGGGCTCTTGAATTTCTCAGTAACGATTCATTTCAAGTAAGAGGAGATGCAACTGTGGGAGAACTAGAAAAGAAAGGACTGCAGCATCTTTCATATTTATTTTAGTTGTTTGGATATCAAGGAATCACAATTTTAATTGCCAGCATTTTTAGCCAAGTATGGAAGAAGGATTGCAGATCTGCTCTCTTTACTGAGATATTTTCTCCTCTATTGGGAGACTATAGGTGCATTAAATATTTGAGATAACACTTCCCTTTTTTACCCTCTTCCCCTTAGTAGTCATGAAGAAGCTGTATCCAGAAAGCCAGATGAAGTCTGCAGAGACAGGTGGCAGCATGATTATACTTAAAACCTCTATATATCAATAGCATCTCTTTTTGTCAGTTCACATGGACATTGTCATCCTTTCTAATAGTTCCCTGATAATGAAGGCAATATTATGTGATCCTGAGAAATAACGTACTGTGTAGGATGGTTATGCAAAATACACATTTAATTACCTGGAAGTTAGCTCTAGATAGAAAGCATGGCAAGTGTTGTAATAGGGATTGATTGCTTTCTGACCTTAGCTAATCTCTATGTACTTGTGTTTGGAGCTATTAAATGAGGGAAGCAATTTATCATTTCGAAATCGTGAGGCTATTTCTTTTCCAATGCAGTGAGAAGAAGATAAAATATGACCATTATCTAATTCCAAATGCCTTGCTGGAGCTGGCAATACTGTATCTAGACCAGGACAGAAGAGAAGAAGCGATAAAACTACTGGAAAGAGCAAAGTAAGCAAGTGAAAAGCCTGTGCTGATGTCTGATGGGTCAGTATGGTGTTTTACTGGTTAGTGGAAGGAGAAACATTTCATTAGTATCATGTAAACTCGTCGTTTCATTTTTCAATGGAAGCATGCATGCTTTGGACCTTTCTAGTGGTAGGCATTATCTGATCACTCAGTCCGTGACTTGCTTGTCCATTTTGACAAGAGTAAAAAAAACTTGATGCTACTAGGAACGTCAAAGGCTTCCCTAAGAAATAATCCATGTGTAACAAAATGTAATAATCTTTGTAGTCTATTTATTTATTCATAAAAGATGTATTAAATTACATCAAAGCTCTGTGTTATGGCTAAAACAGCATTACTCAAATTGATGGCTGGCATTGCTGTTTTCTTTCCTTGATGAAATACATTTAAGATAATGCTTCAGGTTGTGTTTAGTATCTTTGTCTTCTTTCATCTGCATCCGAAAGGCAACTGAAACACCTGCTTTCCTGGTTTGTGTGATTGATTTTTCTATTAGAGTGGGTGTACCAGGAGTGGTTGGACTTGATCATTTATGTTCTGCATTAGAAACTTAACAAAATATGGGGTTTGCCCTTTCTGAGCCTCTACTTCTCTGCTGAGCCAAAAATTTGGAGAGGGAAAGAGGAAGAAGAGAAGGGAATCCAAAGCAAACAAACCCTCACCTTCTTCAATCATTCTGCACCAGGGCAGTTCACCTCTGCCTGGAGCCTGAATGAGTCCAGATGTCTGCATCTCTCCAAGTGCAGGGTCACACCAGTCACTGCCGCAGGTGTGAGCAGCTACAAAACCGATGCCTGGCCCCACGTTTCAGGGAGGTCACATTGAGATTTTGTGTTGAGCTGTTGTCCAAGTCAATCCACTGTGCAAAACAGAGTGGGGAAATCGGCCTACCAAAGACTGTGCCAAAAGCCTGTCAGCACAGAAATTAAATTACTACAATTCTTAATCTCCCATGCTTGTGAGCCTGCTTCTCTGTGGACTCCTGGAAGATACTAAGAAGAGGAAAAATTACATTAGCAAAACGCAATGGAAAGTGTTCCAGTTGGTTTCACATTCCTCAAAGCCTGAGTCTCCTCCCATCCTCACTTCCTGTGTTTGAATCTCTCTTAAGAAGAGATCTAGAAACTAATGATGCAGAGCTTCTCGTTCCATCTGGTACTTGTGTCGCTTGCTGCTCATCCATTGCACTTCTCCTCTGACAACTGTGTGTGGCTCAAGCCACAGGCCCCTCACAGGAAGGTGTTTGGCTTAAAGAAAGCACCAGTAGACAACAGCACTTAAACATTTGTTACCCAGCATATGCAAAGCAAACACTCAGACTTGCTGTGCTCAAAGAACTCCTGGAAACTGTAATGATCTGCAGATAAAGAAGTAAACCACACCACCACGGACATCATCCCTATTTCAGTGTGCCATAAACAACAGCGCAGCCCTCACATCTCCACCTGTACCTGTTACACTGCATCAAAATGCTGAGGTTTTAAGAGCTTTCAGCTACAAATGCTCAGTGCCTTGGAAGCCACTAGAGGGAGAGCGCGTTGTCTGTGGTGGGTTTCAGGGCTGCAGAATTAGGTTTGCCATTAGCAGGAGTGCAGGCCAGCACTTGGCGTGTGCATGATGCTTGATTTGCTTGACCTAAATCCACGTTCTGCTGCTAGCTTGACTGTTTCAGCTCTGGGAGAAGGAGTGGAATGAGATGATAAACAGTTCTGGCTTGGTCGTGCATGGAAATATTTCTGTTTGTATAAATGCAAGCTACAAGCAGGAATATCAGCCTGCTGGTGAGAAATGCAGCATCTGAGTGACAAATTCTGCTTGCTTTAAAGAAAAAACTCCAGAGGGTTTCTCTCAGCATACAGCAGAGCCCAGTCACCTCCTTATGTCAGTCAGCCTCTTGGGTGTTGCATACATGAAATTATAAACTGGTGTAGGATGGGTGTGGAATTCCTTGTTTTCACAAAGAGACTGCTGTAGTGACAGATACCATGCTTCCATGCTTGATTTGAATTACAAATCCTGAACTGAAATGCTTTTAAGGTATGCAGGCTGTTCAATACTTCATGTGATGTTTCTGGGAAGATGACAAATACCTTCTAAAAGAAAATTAGCGTGGTCTAATCCTCTTTGGTATTTGGATTCTGTATCCATCCTGCAGGAGCTGACATGTTAATTCCTATTAAGGAGGATCTGCACTTTCTATGTGGTCCTAGGGGCAAGTTTTCTTTCTTTATATAAGCTTTTCCATGAAAATATAGAGTCTTTTAATGCTTCTGTAACTCTTTAGACCATGACATAGCTACTGGAAGCTGTGGGCAGGTGACAGTGCTGAGTCAGCCGCTAGATGTTTGTGAGGGAAGTCCTGCCACTCTTTCCCTGGGCTGGTGAATTGCTCCTTGGAAGCTGATACGGCATCTTGTGTGTGCCCACTTTCTCTTTCCAAGCTTCTAGGGCAGCAGATTGCCCTTATTTCCTGCACACATCGTTGATAACCATAGGATGGAGATAGGGTTTTTCCCCTGTTCTGGTTCAGGACAGCTTCTTTCTCTCTTTCTTTCTATTCCCCCTACTTCCCTTCTCTATTTCCTTGCAATGTGTGTGCTGAATTAAGATGAATCTTATTAATATGGTCTTTAAAACCCTGAAAATGTTTGTATTTAGATTTGTCAGTTATTCTTGGGGGGGGGGGGGGAGAAATCTAATTTCTGAATGTAAACTAAGCGGTTGTTATAGGTATTTACCAAGGACTCAGTATTTTGATTGAGTGGACCAGATTCAATTTCTTATTAAGCTATATTTCTCTGGTAATTGCCAGACAGTGGAACTACAAATAAAGAACAAAGAGCTGCATTGTTTGGCTAGGAACACATGCCTTGTATTTTAGAGTAGGCAACAAAGGAGCCTGTGAAGAACAGCTTTTCTGCTGTCTGCACTTGCTTTGCATAGAACAATCATAGACAGATACTTGAAAATGTTTTAAAAATATATATTCATGAGAGTGGATCTGCTTTTGTTTCAGACAAAACTACAAGAATTACTCCATGGAAACAAGAACACACTTCAGGATTCAAGCTGCCCTGCACCAAGCCAAATCCGCCCCGGAAAATGGAGTGCACTCGGGAGCCTCGGCAGTGTCGTAACTTTTTCTTCTTTGATGTCCTGTTCGTTGCAAACGTTGGTGCAGAAAATTCCTGACACTTTAGAATCATTTTTTTCCTTCTCCTTCAAGTCGGTGAGAAACCAAATCATTGAAAATCTTCAAGGTGATGCATAGAACATTAATCGAGCGTAATAACGTGGCAAAAAACCTTCCCAAACCAACCGTAACCCTGAAAAAGAGTGGTTTTCCAACAGCGGCTTCTTGAATACTTACGTCTGTGTAATTCATTTTTCAGTCATGTGTGCCTTTTTCGTGCATTCACAGCATTTACTAAGCAAGCTACCGTGTAAAGGGCAACGATTGGTCAAAAGCGAACAACCAAACGTTAAAGTTCACCGATTTAATCTGTTATCTATACAGGTTGGTTTGAATTTGCCCTGCTCACAGTTGAGAAGGAAGCATCACGTTTTCCAAGTACCTGCTTAGTTGAAATGGTGTAAGAAGATCTCGGTGTGCAAGGGACACAGCTCTGAATCCAGAGCATTTCTACTTGTGCGTGGAAAGCTCCTCTTTACCAGCTTTCACCAGTGGCGTTTTTGCTTCTGTAGGAAACTTGCGAGTGAAACAACGGTCTCCCTTTTGCAAGTGTCTTAACTTCCTCTTTAATTTGGTTTTCATGTCAAGTCCGCTTCTTGTAGCGGCTGAATGATTTACTGAGGATCCAGGGTGGGGGGGAAGGTGATGGCAGCATAGAACTGCATCACTTCTTTGACAAGGTAAAAAATGGGGGGTCCTTAGGAAGCCATCCTTTCAGCAGAAAGGAAGTGATGTGAGGTTTATATCGAGTTTTAAGCACAAGTCTTCAAAGGTCATTTAGGAAATGGCGATGTTGCCCTGGCTGTACAGCAACAGGAGTTACTGTGACAGCCAATCCCTTCGGAAAACGATTGTTCTGAGGTTTGCCCAACTTGAGCAGTCCGTGCTTAAAGAGATTGCACGGCCTTGTTTCCTGTGGTAAGAAGCTGGGGTTGGAGCAGGCTCCCTTGGCACAGTGCTCTGCCTTTCTTAAAGGAGAGCCCTTTATCTCTTTGCTTGTTATTAGTCTTTGGGGGGAATTTTTGTGTAAGGGGCTTTGGGAATAGAGCAGTGAGCTGGGTCTGCTTCCCAGTGCTGACTGCTGGAGAACAACTGCTTTTCTGCTAAACTGGTGAAGTCAGATGTAATAGGTAACATTTGACTCACATTTACTGTTCTCTGGGCTAGCTCCATGTTTGTATGCCTGCAGGTTTTGGGCGCTCACTTCTACCTCCCTTTTGAAAGAGCTTCTTCCCCATGACCCATTCTGATATGTGGAGATGGGAGGTCTTCTGACAGCCCGTTTTCTCCAATGGAGATGTTTGTCAGGAAGATTCCTGTCTAAGTACCTCACAGTGAATATTCTTTCTAATGTCCCCAGCAGCAAATTGACAGTTTATAGCTCTGCTTTTACCTCCTCTGGGGAAATGGTATTGTTTTATAATTGCAAATTAATATGCAAGGAGAGAGAACCACCTATTCCTCAGCATGGAGAACTTGCATTGTCTCAAAAAATAGACACCCTTTATAAAAGTCTTCCCAAGCTAAAAATCATAGATGAAGAATGCATTTTTTAAAGTGACTTTCTCAGAGAAATTCAGTTCAAATAAATTTCTCAATGCAGATAAAACTCAGTATGAAGTGATGCTATTTACATATTGCACATCCACACTCAAGTGTAAAGATCCAGGCATTCTTTGTATGGAATAAAGAAGATTCTTGTTCTATTTCATGCATATAACGCCTCTTCTTCCACTTGTGTCCCTTTTAACTGTTTGGGCAGTCTTAGCATCTTTTAAGCAAGCAATGCCATGAAAATCAGCATAAATTGTGCTTTGCAGAAAGTGAACAATCCCTCTGACTAGATTCATCTCCCAAGGCCGCACTGAAACGCTCTTTGAAATGTCACCCACAACCGAGTTTCGCCTGATGTTAGATACACTGCACAAAGGATGTACTGTGCAATGCGCAGTCGACTTCCCTGGTGCTTTGCAGCAATGAAAATACTAAGGCTTTCATGGTCATCTTTGGTCAAGCACAAACATCAGTCGTATCATGGACCTGATCTCCAGCTCCAGCTGAGGATTTTGTAATCAGCCATGATCAAGTAGTCGTGCTTTTGCTCTTTTGAGTTCCCAAACAATAGGAAGTAGTCACCTTCCTCATGTAACAACAAGGATTTATGGACTGTACTATTCTGAAGTCATGAACGGAAAATGCTAAAGGATGAATGGAAGGTCTGGTACGTTGTTGCTGCATCTGTTTTTCTATGTTGCATTTAGAATTGCCCACCATTACTCTCTGTTCATCAGCATACTTCTTCATATTGATGCTCTTCCGTGGCAGGGATCAAAACCTCAGTGGTGTCAGTCTGGGCTTGTTTTTCCATTCTGGGCTTGCTTTTCCATAGCTTCTCCTGAAGCTTCCGCACTCTGCCTGAAGCAGCTCTCCAGAATGGGAAATTGCTTCATCGGTCTGAGTCCCAACAGAGACAATTAGGGGAAGCCCTATTGGTGCATGTTCTCAAACAGCTTCGGCATTTCAGTGTATTCACCTACCCAGAAGGTAGCGGATACTCCGATGGAATCACAAGTCAAGGACTTTCAGCATGGCCTAAGATTCAGGAAGTGTAAATACTGCTTCAGATGGGTATAGTCAACACCTCATTTGCAAAAGGAGCACTTCCTTCTGCTTTCAAACACTGAATTGTCTGACTAATGCTAGAGAAACCCACTGTGTGTATGAAGCATTGGCCAGTGATTGCTGGTATCAACTCTTCTCAGTCCTCAACAAAGCCAGAGGAGTGAACCAAAGGCAAACTACTAACTCATACAGCAGCAAATAGGTGTCTGCACTCGGTAGGACCTTTACTGTAAAACTTATAAACTGTACTTCTTTATCCCTGTTTCCTGTATGTCTGCAGCAATTGCCATCGTGCCCCATGTGATATCACATCACCTGGAAGTGGTAATGGCCAGGAAGGGAAAAGCGCTAAAATGAGCATCGCTTTTATCATCAGATCTGATACATGGAATCCATGTATGTATGGTGTCTCATTAAACTGGAGGGAGGAGATGAGTTGGAAAGCCAGTGGCTTATGCTTGAGGTCTAACAAGGTGTAATTACATCAACACCTAGCTCCTGTAAGTAACACTGGGTGAAGAACAGTGGGCTGAAGCTGAACCTGGTCACAGGTCTTGATGATTAGAAGAGATTTTAATGAAGTCACAAATATAATGGGAACAAGTAAGTGGGAAACACCCACTTCTGATTGCTCAACTAAACCAACATCACAGGAGCGTGCTTTGATTTGTTACTGATAGGCAGTTCTGTTGCGATCTGCAATTAATGCATTGTCATGGATGGTTAGTCTAAAGACTGTCCCGTTCTGACAGTGCCTCAGGTTGTTTACACTGCAGTGAGACAGCATGCAAAACTTGGCTTAGGAAGCTTTGCCTTTTATAAAATACAGTAGCACTGAACAGGAACAGGATCATATCAATCATTTCCTCCCATTTCACACTGGTTTTGGCATTAAATTCTATATCGAGTGCCTCAGTATTTCCAGTTGATCTGTGGCCTGCATCCAAGACCTACTGGGGTGACAGCTTTGACAGCTTGCATGCCTGCAGCCCAGCAGAAGCATCAGGTCATGCTCCCCTGTGTGAAACAAGGCTTTCCTAGAGGTCAGCCCCAGAATGCAGAAACACTCCCAGGAGTTCAAACACAACACCCTCAGCCTTCAGTCCCACCTGCGAGATGGGTTTCTTCATCTTCTCAAGCACAAGAACACAGCAGCAAAGCCAGCGTATATGAAATGACCAAAACAACGCGTTCCACGTGGTTCCTCCTTTGGGAGGAAGACGAGAAGATAAAGAGGTGAGTCATGTTGTTTACTGCTGTGCAGGAAGATGGTTAATGGTTGGAAACGTCACTGACGAAGGAGCTTTGAAAACCTGAACAGCCTGGAACCGAACTTGCTGCTTTTCTCATTATGTTCTGCAAATACCTTTTTGTGATGGATCCTATGCAAAGCGTGTATTGGCAAGTATTTTAATGGAATGATTTATCATCAGAGAGTATTTTTTGCAGATGCTATCTAGGCTTGCTTTGGGTGTCTGGAAAACGAGTACAAATACTTCATTTCAAAAACATGCCCAGTCAATGCCTGTCTCCAGGATTTATGAACAGCAAGGGAGCTAATAAATACCTGCATTGCACTGTGGTAAAACTCTGCACGGTGTTTGCTCCAAATTCAGCAACGTTTTTGTAGGACTCGGCTGTGTTCCATTATTTTGGGGTGTTTTTTTAATCTCTGGACCTACTTTTATTGCTGGCTAAACATAGGTAAAATGTTGATTTGGAACCGTGCGTTGCCTTGAATTCTGCTTGCTTTTTTACCTCTTCTTGACTGTTTTACAGAAAGAATACAAAACAGCAGTAACACACACCCCATGGGCTGTTTTACATCATAAAATTAAGCAAGGTTTCTCTCATGTTAGTCAGGTACAGGTCTGGCTGAAAAGCAATGTGGTGAGATCAGTAGGAGCCGTGCTACCCTGGGCAGTTTCCACCTCTCACTATCGCTTTCACCCTGCAGCACACAGGGCATGGAGGTAAGGAACAGCTTCCTCGGCACTGGAGCTGTGTTGGATGCTTGCAAAGCTGGAGCCACGGGGGCCGTGCTTGCTGTTGGTAGTGTCACAGGTGCAGTTCCAGGATGAGCTGGTGGTGGTTGTGACTGCCATGCTTTTCTGGGCGTTTTGGTAAAGGTGGTGGTGTGAGATGGGTGAAGACTGGCTCTGCTATCCATAGGTGCAGACAGGAACTTCATCTCCAGCGGCTGGCAGACTTCAGTACATCATCCTAGCGAGGCGGAGCAACGTTAACTCTAGAAGCTATGGGTCACGTTCAAGGTCATCTTCACTTGGGTGCAGTACCCAGTGCTGCTGTCATCACTATCAAGGTCACACAGCCTCTCTGGTGGGCAGCTGCAAGGTGGTTTTAGAAGCAGGCAGCAGGGCCAGTTAGTTTTGGTGTGTACTAGCACCACGGAATTCCAGGTTGGATGGAGCCCTTGAGGACCAGCGGGTCCAACCCCTCTTGGCAAAAGCACAGTCTAGACAAGACAGTCCAGCCCCCTCTCCAGCTGAGTCTTTAACATGTCCAGCGTTGGGGAATCCACCACGTCCCTGGGGAGATTACTCCAATGGCTGATTGTTGGCACTGTGAGAAACCTGTTTTGGCTTTCATTCCTGCGGCTGTGGAGTCTGGGCTCCGGGTCAGGTTTCCCAGGTTCTGTGATGCTGGGCTCATCACTGATGCAAGTAATTCTTTGTATTACGAAGGAACAGTAGGAGTCTTACACATACATGTCTACTGACAGTAAGTGATCTGTCACACACACACACACATATAGAAGTACATACACACAGAAAGCCTAT